CATTCAGATATACAATATTAAAAATACAAAAAGGTCACTACAGTTAACTGATAAAATAGCAAATAACTATTTTTTTTCATACGACGAATATACTTCACTTACAGCTAATTGGTTAGATATAATTTGAATAAATTAGATGCAAATAATTGACCATTTTATAACATTTATATTTCTATTCATTATTTAAAAACAAAATATAATTATTCTTAATTATTCTTTACTCATTTCAATGTAAACCAATATATACAATTTAATATTAATTCAGTTAAATGTAATTAAAATTCACGTATTTATTAACTAAGGAAAACAATTTCAAACCTCATAATGCATATTATGTGTAATACACGAGCGTACATGCTCTAATTATTCAATTTCATTGTTAACATCATAATTAAAATTTCTCCATTAAATCAAATCTATTCAGAGATTCGCGTTTCATGTTATATAAAAAACAACATACTTCAAATTCCAACAAAAACGTATTTAAAAATATCATCATAAATTTCCTGAAAACCCTATAGAAACATATTTATGAACCTTACCAATTCAACGAAAATAAAATCTCAGTAAACTATACCGATACCGATCGAACATACCGCATACCAATTAAAAAATCCATCGAATGTAAATTCGATCGAACGTCTTAATAATTCAATTCGATAAAGCACGTAAGATTCGAATCGAATCCGAGCGTGGGTGAGACATACATTTCTACATCGGACGGGGGGTGGTGGAGGGCCCTAAATCGAAGGGTCGGTCAGGTGTACGTTTGGTGGGGACCTGAAGAAACGAACCCAAAAAAGAGACGACAATAATAAAACAAAAAAAAGATAGACAGAGAGGTAGATATAGGAAGAAGAGAGAAACAAAGAAATAAAAATGAAATTAAAAAAAAGAAGAAGAAGAAGGAATAAAAGTAAGAAGGGAAAGGGAATAAGTCGAATTTCGGTTATTAATATAACGAATGCCGCGTGGAATCCCCAATGGGGGGGCGGTACGACCCCCTCGTGTGCGTCAGACCCAGGGATGGCCCTTTGGATGCTCGCCCTTGGGACTCCCTTTTGAGACAATGGACGCCCGTGGTGCTGGATGTCTCCGACGACGTCTGGGGACCCCCGTCGCGACGCGAACGCCACACTCCGACCAGTTTTACTACTATAGAGACGTCAGTTATCCGTCTCGTTCTATCTCTCTTTTTCTTTCTCATTCTTTCTCTCTCCTTTTCTCTCTTTTATTTCTTTCTGTTGCAGTGAGTGTCGTCCCGGGGTACCGATTTATCGAGAAGACGAGACCTCCAAATGGTATCAAGAAATGTGTCAGGAGGTCGTTCAAAGTGCAATAACGTTCTTCGAGAATTTGTCTTTATAATTATTAGGTCAATAATTTTCGTTTAATTTTTAAACATGTTTGATGAGTATTGTAAATACTGTTAAACATGTTTGAGCAATGTATCAGGTGATTGTTCAAAATGTAACAACGTTCTTGGAGAATT